GGATGGATGGATGGATGGATGGATGGATGGATGGATGGATGGATGGATGGATGGATGGATGATTTGCTCACGACACTCATAAAGTGAAACATATTTCCACAGCTTTGTCAGTCTAAAAAGTCAATTAGCTATTTATAAACTTTTACAACTCTGTCAGAATTACATTACACTGATACTCTGGCAGGAATATCATGATTTTTCTGCTACAGTTACCCAACTACTGCCTGCACTTCAAGTTTATGTGAATGACAGTGATATAATTGATAGAATGTAAAAATGTGAAAAAAATATATGTTTGCATGAACCTCTATATTGGTTTTGTGACTAGAGTTGTTTTAAAATGGCACCAGTCAGATTTGGTCTTGGCCCCAGTCAGATTAGCTATTAGTTCATCCACCAGGTCAGAATTAAACTGACATTCACTGTAAAAATGGAATGTTGGATATACTTAACCATATTATGTTACCTGGTTCCACTTAACTGTGTTGAATAAGTTCAAAGCAATATACCCATTTTTTAACCAAAGAACATGAGTATGTTGCTTTGAATTTACTCAACTCATGTATGTGGAACCAGGTCACATAACATGGTTAAGTAAATCCAACATTTCATTTTTAGAGTGTTGGTCAAAGAGCTTTTTACAGTAGGTGAGATAATAATTTTTCATACCCTTTCCACAGAACCCCACGTTAAAGAAATGTAACTATTCCTTTAATTAAGTATATGTAAATATGTTTTTATGGTACAAAAATGTAACTTCATCTATTTTTCCCCCCACCTTTGTTTTAGGCTCCTTGTTTCCGTCACTGAAACCATCCGAAACTGTGTTGAAGGTGGTCTTTTGGCTGGGATACTTCAACAGCTGCATCAACCCAATTATCTACCCCTGCTCCAGCAAAGAGTTCCACCGGGCTTTCACTCGAATCCTCAGGTGCCAGTGTCACCAGAAACGGAGGGTCCTTCGTCGCTTCTATGACCAGAGGTGGCGKACAGCAGTGAAGGGAAAGGCGAGGGATCAGAGGGGTGACTACAGCGCTGGCTTCGCTGTGCATGAATCCTCTGGCAGCTCTTTGTTACATAAAAGGAAACGGTGCTCGCTAGGTCTGAAGAGATGGAGCTTCCTTCCACCGCTGCAAAAGTCCTCCTTTCAGTTCAAAGAAAAAGTGAACAACCTGTCAAACAAAATCAAAGTGGGGACAGGAAAAGTCACCCCGCCTGCACTGGGAAGGACCGATACAGTAGACACAGTCTCTATGGGGATTTACAACTCGTGCGAGTCAGGCAGTTTTCAGTTCTATGATCTGGCAGACTGTTACGGCCTGAAAGAGACTGACATTTAGAGGGCCCYCGGGGAGTCTTTAATTTATTTTCAAAGGCCCATACTGGACCAAACTGCAAGAAAAACTGTGAAAGATGGGTGAGTTTGTGTTCGACAAATCTATTTAAAAAAGATGAAAGCTGAGAAAAAAAAAAAGACTTGATTCCAGCCCAAACTGGAGTTCATTCCTCATGACTGTTGTGTTTCTCTAACTCAAATGACCTACAGCCACATTACAAAGGAAGATAYGACAAAATACTGACCGATGCACCAACTGTGCATTAAGGCAAAATATTTCAACACAGACCCAGATCATTCTTAGAGTTAACATGTATTTTGTTTAATTATAAAGTGGACAACCTCCTTGTTTTTAATTATTAGCCAGCTGRCAGTGTGTGAAGACAACTGTGACTTGTTTGATATTTGTTGACAAAAAAAATCACTGAGAGAGATGAATCATAAGTGCAATTTTTATTTTTTTTATCACTAGGAATTCCAAACTGTACAATATAAAAAAAATGTATGTTTATGTCTGCAAAATTTTCTGTTCTGACAAGACTTTGTAAAGCAAAGAAGCTGTGTTCATTCTGTTGGATTTGTGATCTAACCTGGTATGTACCAAAGTGTAGTTTGCAGTGTCCAGTGAGCACAAATGTGAAATGAATGTGCTTTTTTGATATGTTTTTGATGTCAAATTTATGTCAGATGKATAGAAAAATAAAAAGAGGAAAATTAAGTTGGGAAAAGGATTCTGTTCTTTGATTAGGTTGCATGTTTGTTTTTAGAAAAAAAATCAAATCAGCATCCTGTTGTATAAATCAGTCCAAGAAACCTGTGAAATAATAATAATGAAAATGTAAACAACCTATGGTCTGGGCATTTCTTAAATGATTGAAGAGCACTCACTGCCTTTCATGATCAAATTTTAAACTAACCTGATGACAGTTTTTCTTTGTAGTTCCAGTACTTCCACTAATTCACAATAAGATCATTCAAATGTTTCCTTGAAGGAAGATAGCAGCTCGTGGACTGTGTTTGCTTCCATATTATGATCACTGTTAAGTAAAGAGAGGAACACAGATTTGCAACACAATGTAATGAGTAAGTTAACATTTTTGGATTCACATGAAAGGTACTTTGACAACCCATTTCCTCAGTAATGAGTATGTTATTCAGTCAGTGGTGGTGAAGAAAGACTTGAATTAAAAGGTAAAACACTTGATCTACTGGCCTGTGTTACTAACTTCACCTAAAGTTTGGATCATGACTGGAAGAATTGCATTAGACAGTATGAATAGAGATGATTTGGGCTGGATGCCTACCTTCAGAGGTGTTTTGAGCATATTCCACTGGGAAGAGGCATTAGACCTGAAACTTGCTGGAGGGATTATGCATCTTTTCTGTCCCAGGAACACCATGGGGATCCCCCAGGTAGAGCAAGTGTCGCTGGGGACCGGGGTGTCTGGGTTTCTCTACTGCAGTGTTTCCCAAAGTTGGGTTTGGGACCCAAAGTGGGGTCCTGAAACATCAAGGTGGGGTCCTGAAAAGATTTTCTGAATTAGTTACATTTTTGCCTTAGTTGTTACAAAGGAGTGAGGTTAGTGTATTTAAAATGGATAAATGTAGAATAATAAATATTGTTACTATGCCCATGATTGGTTGACCTGATACAAATGTTTATGATCCAAAAATAGTTGGGGGCACAGGTCTCTGCTACTGTTATTTTGTGGGTCAAAAGCTGAAAAGTTTGGGAGTCACTGCACTTTGGTTCCCAAAGTTGGGCTTGGGACCCAATTGGTCATGAAGCACCTTGGATAATCTCCAGAAATCAATTTAAAGAGTAATAAAATAATTGCTGATGTAATATTTTCCCTATAATTATTACAGAAACACAAAAACGTATAAATACGTATTTATATTTGTGTACAAGCTGTTTAGATTGTCAAAAAGCCTGTGTTTTTAGGGTTATTAACAACGTTTATGTACTCAGACCAGTAATATTTGGGGTCACAAGTTTTTGCCATGAATATTTTGTGGGTCAGAAGACAAAACGTTTGGGAACCACYGCTCTACTGGACCAGTTGCCTCCAACAACCACCAATATTGCAACAATCTGTTTAAGAAGTATCAAGGAACAAGTCTTTTCAGCCCTCCAAACTCCTCCATTATGAATATGTTGGGATCTGATGACATCTATGGGTAGTAAGTAAGATCTACACAAGCTCCACCTCACTATCCATCAATGGATCTATTGCTGGAAAACACACACACATACCTCATCTCCAAAACATACACAAAAACCCAAATGACTGTAGTATGCAAACAAAAATACACAAGGCTAACATAACTAAACATAAGAACAATAAACAGAGCAATGAATCCAGTTTTTCTGCTCTGTTTTATTTCACACTTCCATTTATTTTTGCTCCCTCCTCTGTTCCTAAAAAAGATTCCAGACTATAAATTACAGTCCAACACTGTCAGTGCTGCTTTTTTTTCAACTTATTTTAGAAAAGTCACTGACTGCCATATGTTGAATACACTTTCACAGCTTGTAGTTTCACGATGTGTTGGAGCCAGCCAAAATGACAGACTGCCTAGACTCCTAATTGTGAACTGACAGCTTTGATGCTGTTTTAACTATGATATGACTCTGACTTTGGCTCAGAGTTAATAAACAGGCTGCAGCTGGTTGCTGACTATTTTGAGATGGATCATTTGCAGTGCAATCTGGATGCTGGGTGTCTTGGATTACATTACGTTTTACATTCAGAAAGAGTAAGCAGCAGAATGTAGAAGATGGTTTCCTCTCTTATTGCTGTTTCAACAGCAATCTTCTTTTTGGCAATTGTCAGTAGATGTACATTAAACACTGGTTTACATAAGAACCAACTGACTGACAGCCTGAAAGCAAATCTGGCAGCTTTGTTAGCATTTAAGCTGAACTATACAAGTTTTTAGTTTGTTTTATTTTTTTATATTGTTGAAAATTAAGAAGTGATAAAATTAAAAAAAAATAAAATAACTTTAAATTATTCACAACAACATGTCTGTGAGGAAAAACATTTGATTGTAGATAAAGGAGACAGTGAGAAACTGATCTTGTGGTGAAATGTGAACATACATAAAAAAAGATTTTGTCTGTACACATGGCAACATTTCAAGCAGGTCTGTGTTGTCTCCCTGGCTTTGCAGCATTTAAGTTGGCCTCACTTTGTTTTGCTCAATTTTAGTTTGACCTCTAACCACTCTACCACATTCTCTCCTTCCATTTTCAGGTTCCCATGGAGGGTCCGCTACATTAAGCCCAGCTGATATATGTCTACACTTCCCCCCTCATAAGAGAAACCACCATAGCCATGACTCTGACTCTGCAACAGACCCCATCACCAACCACTTACCAGTCATTCTTCGCCTCTGAATGGACGCATTTTCAAAAATCCTTAAAATGTTTGGAAAAAGAACAGAGTGCATTTTCAGACTTGTCTCCTAAGAAACAATTATATTTGTCTATATTTACAAAAATAATTAATATTAAAGTCTAAGCCAGAAATGGTAAGAAGGCAGCATTATAGTGGCATGGCAAAAAGATACAAAAGCAAACTGACTAACTTATTTTAATTACATCATTTAGTAACTTTTAACATAAATGCAGGTAAAGGTTAATAGATGTAGAGAAATTTCCTGACATCCTGGACTGGTTGTTGAACTTAATCAGTCTGATTTTAAGGGTTACAAATCACATGAAACATTTTTAAGTGATGGTGCTGAGGTTCTGCTGACTGGTGATCAGCCTTTACACCAAAACCAAAAAAACACCAACAAAGACTAAAGTTACAGGCATTAACCTATTTTAAAATTGAGTGTTTGGTAATTAAGTTGATGAAATTATACATATGGTTTGACATTTTACATCTTAATCAGTAATGCAGCTATAGAAAACAAACTATCTAATTTTCATACACTTTGAAAGAAAACAAAATAAAAGTGTACATATTTTACCTGAAATGTGAATTTTCAAGTTGACCAAGTGAAGTTTCATTATTGTCTTTTTCAATAAGAATTTTTACATCTTCATAACATTTGTAAGCTGTAGGAACAGAACTTTTTTTAATATTTATGGATAGTTTTACCACCTCTGTGGATTAAAACCAATATAACTGTTTTCACTTTTGTTTTAAATTTATTATAGCACGAATATCAAACTGTTCATATAGTCTACAATAT